ATTGAAAAAAAAAGACCGTACCCTTTTATGTAATGATGTTTACTTTGAATTTATATTAGTTCACACAAACACTCCATCCATGCTTTTGTTCCGGCCCTCCGGTCTAGTTTAAGAACCCATTGTGGCCCTCAAGTCAAAAAGTTTGCCCACCCCTGGATTAGGGCCATCTCCCCGCTGCCAGCAGCCAGCAATGTCCTGCTCCCACCCCCGGTTCCCTGTTTGCCATTGGGTGATCGGAGCCTGCTGGGTGCAGGGGAGGGTCTGACGGGGGCAACGAGAGGTGGTCAGTGTGCCTCATAGTGACTGGTCAAGGGGTCGTTGTGCTGTTTGGTCAGTTTATATATTACTCTTTTATATATATAGATGTGCAAGATATTCATAATCAGGAGGACAAATAAAGTATATATCCATACAATGGAATTCTATACACAGTAGTGGAAGTGAATGAACAGTTGCTACATGTGTTAATATGGAGACATTTTCCAAACATAATGTGGACTGGTAAGGCAAATCACTGAGAGTAGAAAGAATAACATTAATACAAAGCTTTCACCAGATCAAAATCAAGAGAGTAATTTACTTGGTGAGAGGAATAAGGAAAATTAGGTCAAAGAAAGGTACACAGAGGGCTCCAACTCCATCTGTGATGTTTTATTTCTAAAGTTGAATGATGGGTAATAGAGGTGGTTGTATTATCCTTGATACATTTTTGTATGTCTGAAATATTTCATTATTTTTATTTTTAACCAATACCTTATACTCCACTGTGTTTAGGATATAGCTCACAATAAATTTTAAAGAGAAAATATGCGAAAGGAACTTTTATATTACTAAGTAAGGACAGTATTTCCTGACATACTGTTACGGGTCAAGTCATACAGTAGCTTATACATACTGTTAGCTCCTTGGCCACATATGTCATTTCAGGTTATAATAGTGGAGGTGAGTGATTAGAACATTGTCATCACATAGAACCAAAGATGAAAAAGATGTTGCCAATGAATTAGGGCTCCCATACACCCATTCTTCAGAGTGTATTTTCTCATATTTAGAACTAAAATAAATGAATAAATTGTTAAGCCAAAGAGTTATTTTAAGAAATCTGAAAATAAATAGTAACTTCTTATTAACTCCCCCTTTTCCCTTTCTAGTTTTAATTAAAGATTTTTTTAAATAAGCGTTATGAAAGTTTTATGAGTCAAATTTTGGATTTTGATTTTAAAAAACACATTTTTTCCCCCAAAAGAAACAGCTTAACACTAAGCCGTATCTTCCTGGATATGAATGATATTGTTGAAGACTTCCCCAGTTTTTAATTGTCCATTGTTTCCTAAACTGTATTTTTAATTTCATTTGCTCTCTCCTAGGGAGTGAAGGATGGCAGCACGCCGTGCGTTAAAAGCTGTTTTGGTAGATCTCAATGGCACACTTCACATTGAAGATGCAGCTGTGCCAGGCGCACAGGAAGCTCTTAAAAGGCAAGCTATCCTCCCGGTTCAGCTGACAAATATGTTTGTAAGTGCCGTTTACCAAGGCAGGTCATTAGCGGAATGGATGACCTTGAGATGGCATTTCACCAGCTTACCATATATACAGAAACTGCCTTGGGTTTAGCTAGAAGATGTATGCATTGTAATATCTTCCAAACATTGTTCTCTAAACCTTTATTAGGTTTGGCCTTTGATCTATTCTTTTTGTTCTTTGTGTGCATGTTTTTTTCTAAGTAATGTAAATTCGTGAATGAAAACTCAAGAATCTAAAATGTAAATTAAATAGCATTGGAAAAATCACAAATGAAGGGATCACAAAGTGAAACACACACATACACAAAGGTGTAGTGCTGCCCACTCCCTTTTCACCTAAGATCTCGCATTAAGTGTGCAGCAGCTCAAATAAAGTTTAATTGAGGGACTTGAAATTTTAGAATTATTTCTATTAATGAAATTTAATGCCTTTGAAGGTTAGCAACTGTTCTATATTTCTGATGTACCAACCACAGTACTTAACATGTCTAGATACAAATGGGGATATGTAGTAAAAGCTTGTTAAAAAGCAAACTGAACATGTCCTGGCCAGTGTGTTCAGTGGTTGAATGTAGACCCAGGAACCAAGAGGTCACTGAACCCGGTTGGGGCACATGCCTGGATTGCATACTCAATCCCCAGTAGAGGGCGTGCAGGGGGCAGCCAATGGATGAGGTTTCTCATTGATGTTTCTGTCTCTCTATTCTTTTCCCTTCCTCTCTCTCAAAATCAATAAAAACATATATTTTTTAAAAAGTAAACTGAATGTGAATGTTTGCTTGTGAGTGTCCTGAAAAAAAAAAAATCAGTACAATAGTACTACTAATTGGTATTAAATACCTTTATATTAAAATTATTTAGAGAAGTTTTCAAAGTCAGCAATACTTAGCATGTGGTGCTTATTATTTTCCCACCTTAAAATAGTCACAGTGTGCTGTTATTCACAAAATCTAGTGACTAGTATCGCAACACCAGGTATAAGGGCCAAAAATTGACACAGATCTTGCTTGCATTCTCTCAAGGAGCTTACCTCCCATTTGGGGAATCAACAAATATAAAGAGACTTCTGTATCTGGTAGGCACCATTTGGAAGCTGTCAGTTTAGTTAGGAGTCATGATGTTCATGTTATAGGTGGACAACATGTTTAACCATTTGTACGCCATAAGCATCTATAGACGCAAGTGGCGGACCTCTTTTAATTAAATTCAAAATATCGTGGCCATTAACTGGTTAAAGCCAAAAGAAAATCAGATTCACAGTTGGACTTTCTCTTGACTCCTTGACACTGTTTCTTAATTAGGCTTTCTCTGGGAAAGGAGCTTTTACTGCTTTAAAGATAAGCTTTTTACTTTGTATTGAAGAAAAATCTTTTTATTTTTGGTGAGCAATGAATGACACCACTAAGTAGCTCTGTAACTATGAGCCTGCCATTCTGGAGGGCCAGGAGCCTGTGAATTACACATCCAGAGACATCACTATACTGTTATGGCTGGTTTTGGTTTCTATAGAAACAAACAGGCTAAGGGAAGTTGAGGGACCAGTAAAAAGAAAAGTTTTTTTTAATCCTCATTAAAATGATATGGTTATTTCAGTACTTCTACTTGTTCATTTTTAGGATAATAGTTACATTGAAATAATCAGTTTCTTTTGAGAGATAAACCACTAAGTTTAATGTGTTTTTAAGAAAAGCTACCACACAGATATTATAGAGGCAATCATGATTACAGTGAACTATTTAATCTTACAAATTTAGTTAATGTTCTTTGGGTGAATACTTAAAAATCTCTGTTTCTGTTTTATTTGCTTGCTTGTTTTCAATTGCGTTTAGTGCTTTTCCACCTTGTATTCATCTGGGGCAGGCACAAAATAAAAAGCAATAGGGTATTAATATAAAATTTTAATTGTAGCTAAATGAAAATTATTTTTAGATTTTGGATTAAAACACTTTAGGACCAAGAAAATAATTTTCAATTTCAAAGAAAGCTAGACTGTCATGAATTCTTTCTCTGATACCTGATTACCAGTTTAGGTTTCGAAAACAGATCACAGAATCAAAACAATTCTATATGTAAGTAGTTCAAGGGAAAAACACATTTTATTTAAAAAGAAAAAAAAATATTTTCTTTGATAGATTGTCCAGATAGATTCTGTTTATAGATTTGGTAGCACATCTTTTGATTGTCTAAGAAGGAAAAACAACATCTTGAGGTGTCCTCTGTTCACTAGTATAGGAAGGACATCAAGTCCTGTACCAGGACATAGGTTGGAGTCTTTGTCTCAGCTCTACTGCTACCCAGCAGTATGAAGCCGAGCAAGTCACTTAGCTCCCCTACGCCTCAGTTTTCTCCTCTTTATAAGAAGAGAGGGTTGCGCCCTAACCAGTTTGGCTCAGTGGAGAGAGCGTCTGCCTGTGGACTGAAGGGTCCCAGGTTCGTTTCTGGCCAAGGGCATGTACCTTGGTTGCGGGCACATCCCCAGTGGCGGGGGTGAAGGAGGCAACTGGTTGATGTTTCTCTCTCATCGATGTTTCTGACTCTCTGTCCCTCTCCCTTCCTCTCTGTAAAAATCAATAAAATATATTTTTAAAAAAGAAGAGAGGGTTGCATAAGTAGATAATCTCTAAGGTAACTTTTACCTCTCATATTCTGTGAGTATATTGGTTACTAAGCTTTGTGTTTGTTTGTTTGTTTCACTTACTTGCTAAATCCCTGCAGTAGAATTCAGTTGAAGTACAGAAGTCCTCAAAAAGGTAGACACAGCTTTTATAATTTACTTTGTAGCCTTTGGCAATAAAGTGGTCCAGACAGTGTGGATAATACGTAAGCAATTCTGGGTAGATAACAAAAAGATTATTGGTAATAAAAATATTTACTTGGTGACTTAGCCTTCATTTTATGACTGTTGGCAAGTGCTACCAATTTAGGAGATCTTACAGGACTAGAATGTAAAAGCTGCCTGTTGACATCTGAATTTTACTTTTCCAGGTTACGTGGTTCTTCTGTAATGGTTAGGTTTGTGACCAATACAACCAAAGAGAGCAAGAGAGACTTACTGGAAAGGTTGAAAAAGTTGGAGTTTGATATCTCTGAAGATGAGATATTTACTTCTCTGACTGCAGCCAGAAATTTAGTAGAGCAGAAACAAGTCCGGCCCATGCTGCTAGTTGACGATCGGGCACTACCTGATTTCAAAGGTAGGGGAAATTGCAAAGATTTAAAAATTGGTTCTTCATATCTTCTTATAAATCATTCTTAAACTGAATATTTAGATGTATTCAGATTTCCTCCAATTATTATTGAAAGAGTCAACAGATCTCTTGAATCTAAATTGGTGTTTCTCAAACCTGTTCTGACTGCACTCCACAGTAAGTGAAACACATTACATAGTAACCTAGTACATATATGTACTAGGTTTATATATATATGCTAAACAATACTTTTACTGTATGAGAAGTACTCTATTTTCTGTTTGGTTTACTTAATTGTTTATTTGATTTTGATGCTGCTTAGAGCTCTCCAAATTAGTTTTGTAATCTA